ATCCCAAATCTGAGAACACGCTGCAATTTCAAATGTGCAGATACTTAATTCTTCCATCCATCAAAAGTGGCTTATGCAGAAGAGAATATGGATCCACATGACCCCAAAGAGATGTAGAACCAAGGAGACAGGCTTGGCGCCCCTTCAGTTTGGTATGTTCTGGGTGAACTGGAGCCTGGAGAGAAGAGACAGGAGAAATGCAAAAGTGTCCCCCAAAATAATAGGGTCTCCTATTTTGAAAAATGACTGTTTGTTTCACTATTAACATAACAGAGACACAAAGATGAAATGTTGAATATAACTCTGGAGATGAATTCTTCATTTATTATAAGGACATATTTTCTAATGATTATCTGAAAACATAATTATACAGTTGACTGAGAAAATAGCTAGGTTGGCATTCTTGAAGACTAGATTAACACTCAAACAGTGTACTGTCAGAGAGGAGTCAAGCACGAAGTGGGTGGTTGCACGGAGTTGCACTTAAATAAATGTGCCTTCCAAGGTTTATTTTATGGGTTGTCATGGACATACAGAAATAGATGAGAAGTAATTCAAAGTAATCTTTAGAATAATTGTCATGGCAAATATGGAGCACCCAGAAGGATTAAATGCAGTTGGTTTTCTAATCTGTTGCTGAAAAAGCACAATCATAAATATCTGATATAATTAAAGGGATATGCAAAACTACATGACAGAGATATTGATAAATTCCTACTATGGCTCCATTCAGGGAAAGAGTAGGGGAATTGTGGTGTGGCACTCTTTGATGTTAATTTCAAGACATAATTTCAACATTTGAAATGCGGTAATGAGTGTGAATTAAAGCATTTTGATTAGGTGCAACTGAGAAAGTGGAAAGGGAACACATTGGCCTTTGTATTTGGACCAGGAAGTCTCCAATCAGCATTTCTTGTTTCACAACAGCTAAAGGAGAGATAGGGAGAAAATGGCTTTCCTCCAACAATTGAATAAAAGTCCTGGGTTTTTCTAAAACTAGACAAACTTGGGTTTGGTACCTATTTCTGAACAATTAATTTGACCATTGTATTGCAATAAGATAGTGATTTTAAACGTCTGTCTTGGTGTGTTTGGGGTTGCTATAGAAGAATGCCACAGACTAGATCATTTATAATGAACAGAAACTTTCCAACTGAAGAATCTGGAGGCTGGGAATTTCAGTATCAAATGCTGACGAGGGCCTTCTTGTTGGGTCACCCCATGACAGAAGGCAAGGAAGAGCAAACGAGAATAAAATATAAATAAATAAAAACTGGAGTGAGTCCTTCAGTTTGGGGCTAATAATGACATTCATATAATAATGACAGGAATCCATTCATAAAAATGGAGTCCTCATGACAAAACACTTGTTACAGATCAAACATTGCCCTTTGAGGATCAAATTTTAGAGAAGTAAATTTTGGGGATACATTTAAGCCTGGAATACCTTCTAAGCCTGAACCAATGACCATCTCAGAGAATGTTACTTAGAGGCTCCCTTGAGCAATCAACTCACAACATGAACATTGAAATGGGGCTAAAGATGCTACACAAGAGCAAATCTATGTACATCTGCCCATTCATGGATTAGTAGCTTAAATCTCCACGTTATCCAAAAGCATGTAAGTACAACATAAGACTGTCCACCTGGCTCTATTAAGCACAGTGGGGAATAATGTTTAATTCCAGACTAGAAAATGCACCCAAAATAGACTGTCTTGGTAGTACTGAAAAACACTAGCATCCAGATACTGCTATGTTTCAGTAACTCCATGAATTTTACTCATTGACATCAACTTAATTTTTTCTGTTCTTTCTGTGCCACTAAGAAGTCCCCAGGGGATGGGCGGAAATTTTGAGAGCTTCATTGCAATTATTGTTGCTAGGAAACAACATCATTGGCATGGGCTTTGAGACACCGTGTGAAGTCACTGCTTCATAAAGGAATATCTTCAGTAAATAGGCTGTTTGGGTGTGAGTAAATTGATATTCTCGTTCTGTGGCAAAATGTTCTTGTGTAAACTGCGAATAACAATGTATGCAGAGACATTTGGTCTTTGTTTTGGCACCAAATACCATCGTTACCCCCAAGAGAACTCAAATTTCTACTGAAAGAGGAGGGAGTAATCTTTTTCTTCTCAAATCATCTATAATTATCTCAGTGCCTTAATACACTTTAGTTAAAGTGCAAGGGAACCTGGATAGTAGCAAACACCATTGATACTATGCTTTACACAAAAATGTTTAATCAATGAATTAGGCTCAGTTAGTATAAGTGACTAACCAAAATAATTAATAATAAAATAGGATAATTATATTAATATACATATAAATAGTTATGTGAAAATGGTCATTTTGTGCTCGCTCTCTCAAAAAAAAAAAATTTATTTGAATACAAGTACTACAAGCATAACTGACTTAGTAGCTGCGATGACCAGTCAGGAACTAATGGAAAGGTAGCATATACATTACTGCTACCCTGGGCAAAGCAGAGAGTCACTTCCCGAAGGAGACACAGTGGGGCAACGTGAGGCTTCATCAGGATACTTAGAAGAGCGCTCAGTGTAAAACTTGTGATATTTTTATTCCTTGAATTTTTCATTTGCTAATGGATAACTAAACATGGAAAATCAAACTCTGTATAGGGAAGAATATAATCTTCTAGCTGTTTTATTGTATAGAGTGGTGACATTGTACAATTATATTGAAAAAGTATATATATATTTTTTCCAACAAAAATAGCTAAATCTGCAGCTTTTTGTCTTTAAACCTTGTCTGTCTCTTGTAATGCACTGCTTGTTAAATAATAGAAATAGTAGTGCAAATCTCTATCTTGTGTGAGAATGTTTTAGTGTTTCTACAATAAGGATGAAACCTACTTTAGGATTGAGATCAATTTTATACAGTTATCTTAGTTCATTAAGTTTCTGTCTATTCACATTTACTCAGTGATGTCATTTGCTTTGTTAAAAATATAATGAAATTGTATAACATCAAGTACCATTTTAGCATTTGCATAGATAATCATATAATTTTGTCTTCTTAAATGTGATAATAAATGTTACTAAATTTTCTAATATTGAATCACTTATATCCAATGAACTGAACTGGTTAGGATTTATTGTTTAAAGTCCTGCTGAATTTTTTACTAATATTTTCTGCTTATTTTATGAAAATAAATGTTTTCCCACTTAGCCTGTTTTAGAACTACGTTTCTATAATTTTTTTTTGCATAGTCCCACTGTTTCTAAGGTGGTTCCCTTATTTTATCTTAACTATTTGTCTTGCATAATTTATTTCACTGTAATTTTAAGTTATTAATTTATTTGAAAGACGAAATTACAGAGAAAAGAGAGACAGAGAGAGAGAAAGATCTTCCATCTGCTCCAAATGCCAGCAATGACCAAGGTTGGACCAGGCCTAAACTGCCCATAAGGAATACCTGTACTGCAGATAATGGCTTAACCCTCTGCATCACAACATCAGGCCCTCATTGGAGTTCTAAAGAATAATTTCCTCAAACAGGTGTAAATTCTCACTATACTAATTAGCCCCCTATAGATGATTTTATATCCAGTAGGTAAAAAGTTTCATAGATTCTTAGAGATCAGCAAGAATATCTAAAAGTAAACCTCTTCTACCTCAGTTGCGACATACACGTGGGTTATTTTTGCTGGATCAGTCCCTGAATATGGAACATTACCCATTTGGACTGAGGACAAGTTCCAGAAGGAGATGGTTTGAAGACAAATAAAGTAAATGAAACATTGCAATAAATAATCATTAACAGAGTAGCAAGATAAAAACGTTAAGAATGCTTAAAGCAGCACAGTTAAGAGAGTTTTTTTTAAGCAACAAAAATGTAGGGAACGGGGGGAGAACAGTTTAAACTTTGTTCCCATTGTGGCAGTGATGGTGATTCCTTGGCACTTACTTAGCATTGAGCTCCTGAATTTTAAACAATGTTTTATCCTCTGAGATGTTACTGGCTTTAGTCGAAAGTAGGGCAGCATGATATTTACTATAAAAAGATTAAATGGTTACTTCTGAAACGTAAGACCTAGTTAATTCTGTTGTAAAAGAAATAGTTTGATGCTTTATTCCCCAAGGTAAATATAAGTAGAAAATAAAATGAAGAAAAATATTTCTCTCTAGATGATAAAATATGTTCTTAAATTTTACTTCAATGGGTTTTACATTTTCAAGCACATACAACATTGTTCTTATGCAAGTCACTCTGATACTTAGCCATGCATGTCCAGCGAAAACCATGGCAATTGGTACAGAGTGGGAGGAAGAAGATGATAGACCATGGCCCTAGAGTCTTCTGTGCTAACATGAAGGCAAATCTACTTCTATTTGCAATTCTCTACACATCTTCCGAAATGAAAGTTGTCTATCTTAACTATGAAGATACAAAATAATGATCAAGAAGTCATATAATTGCTAACAGTTCCATTCACATGTTAGCTATAATAATATTAACTATAACCAAAAGCATGAATAGAACCTTGCCTAATTGTCTAAAAGAAACATACTTACCAGGTCTTGAGTCTTTACAGGTATTAACAAATTTGATGTTTTTCATACTTCACTCCTGTATCCCTTCTGTGTTATAAAATGTGAGCTCAATTGTTATTTCTTGTTTCTATAATTGTTACTGATAAACGGTGCATGAACTAAATCCTTTTCCAGGAACCTGGAATGCAGCCATCCACCAGTTTAACCAGAGTGACCTATGCTCGTCACAATGAGAAGAAATATGCAATAGTGTCATCAAATAGCACTACGTGCTCTGCAGTTATGTCCACCCAAACCAGATGCAGCCACTACCACCCATCAAAAACAGCACTCGCCACTAGCCCTAAATATCAATCTAATCTAAACTAATTCCTTCTTGTCATAGTTGTTGGGGAATTTTTCCTTCTAGCTCTCACTTTGTCTTTGAAAGGAATGTCTAGATCACCTGTATTCAATTATGCTACATTTCCTTGTTTCAGATGGTTATACAACTGATGACATTGAGTTTTATTGGAATGGAGGAGAGGGGGCCGTAACAGGAGTCAATAAAATTGAACTTCCTCAGTTTTCAATTGTCGATTACAAGATGGTATCCAAGAAAGTGGAATTTACAACAGGTGAGGACATCTTAGTCTAAAGGAATCCAGGATGCTGGGAAAGCAACGTGATGCTTTCAATCAGATGATCTGATTGTTTTCTTCATTTTTTTTTTCTATTTAGGGGCGTACCCAAGACTCTCTCTAAGTTTTCGCCTGAAAAGAAACATTGGTTACTTCATTTTGCAAACTTACATGCCTTCTACATTGATTACAATTCTGTCCTGGGTATCTTTTTGGATCAATTATGATGCATCAGCTGCAAGAGTCGCACTAGGTAATTAATTCCCAGAGTTGCTTAGGGCTGGTGAACTTTGCCTTCAATCAAATAACCACTGTTAGCAATTATAGGCAAGAACTTTCTAACAACCAACCAAAGAATTAGATTACCAAGAAGTACTAACATACAAAAATTTAATATAAGCATGTTTACAATGATTATGCTATAATATCTTCTTGGAATTTTACCCCCACCCAAAATGAAGTACACTTCACACTATTAAAATTTCTTTGTGGAATATATTTAAATTCTCATTGCATAAACTTTTAACAAAAATGGTGGCATCCTTGTTAGCACCTGTTTTTACAGTAGAAAATATTTATAAAATACCATTTTCAGTGCCTGGCACGGTAGCCTAGTGGCTGAAGTCTTCGCCTTGAACACACCAGGATCCCATATGGGCACTGGTTCTAATCCTGGTAGTCCTGTTTCCCATTCAGCTCCCTGCTTGTGGCCTGGGAAAGTAGTCAAGGACATCCCAAAACCTTGGGACCCTGCACCCCATGTGGGAGTCCCAAAAGAAATTCCTGATTTTTGGCTCCAGATCGGCTCAGCTTGCAATCACTTGGGAAGTGAGTCATTGGATGGAAGATCTTCCTCTCTGTCTCTCCTCCTGTCTATATATCTGCCTTTCCAATAAAAATAAATAAATATTTTTAAGTGTCATTTTTAAATGGATTTTAAGAGAGTCAAATAAATAATAATAAGCCATATCAATTGTTGGGAAAGACTAACCTTTAAATATTAACTAAAATGAAATAATACTAACAGGGAATCTTATAATTTGACTCATTATATTAATAATGCACAAGTAATACATCAGCTATATTAATTATCTATGCAAGTCGAAACTTTTTAAAAATTATTTCCTTGGTGGAACAAAATGCAGAGCTAACTTTCCATGGTTGACTAATGGCTGGAAGCTAAAAACTGTGGTTAAGACTTTAGCAGTTTCCATGGACACTTTAAGGTGTATCTGGTGAATAGGATCACATTCTCATTTACTTCATTTTTTTGGTTGTCATATTCAAGGATTTATTCTATTTCTCTCTCTCTCTCTTGCTCACACACTCACACAGAGTTCATCATTTTTGGCTAACACATTGCAACTTTCATGAAACTGCTGAACTGGATTAGTTGAAGCTCAGCTATCACATCTTGTTACATTTAGCCTGTCTGTTTAAAAAATTAAAAACATAAATACAGTTAGTGAATTTGTTAATGTATTATTTACTTATTTTAAACTCATTAGCTAGACTCGTGTTAGGTAACATTCCAGCCCATTCAAATTCACCACTGATTTGAATTATTTCAATTTATTGTCTGTTAGTACACTTCTTTATATCTATTCCTCAGTTACAATGGAGCAAAAACACAAGTTTGAGCCTTATGCCCTCAGGAGAGTAAATAGAGAATCTCCCAAATGGGGCTCCTACATTATAATTCACAAGACCAGTCTAATCTGCTCCCTCCATCCAGTCTTTGTGTTTCCTTGCTCCCCAGGAAGCAAGATGTAGCACGGTTCAAATGCCAAGAGAAGCTGGCCGGTTCTTGCCCACTCCTCTATTTTCTTGGCATTCTCTCACCCCTAAGAATGCCTCCCAAGAACACAAAATACAAAAAGCCCTGCCTGCTGAAGGACTAGTCCTCTGTCCCACTGTCACTCCAGCTTTGCCTGGGCAAATGGCCACCTCCGAACTTATCACCAATGAATTCAATTTGGCTGAGTTCTGTTTCTGCATCTCTTTCCTAACATTTGCTTCCCAACTTTTCTGAGTCACATTCTTAACCTCAGCCATCAAATCAGACAATTTGTACATTAGAATAATCTGACTGGAAAATTAATAAACTATGTGCCGCCATTCTTTCACTGGGCTTTCTGCCATTATTTTGGTTGACTTTTCTTCGTCCATACTGTCAATTTCAAACTTCCTGTTATTTCTATCTTTCTTCCTTCCTTCTTGTCCTGTCTTCCTTTAGTCTCTTTTCTTTCTTCTTTTCCTTCCTCCTGCTTTCATATTCTTTCTTCCTTTTTCTTCCTCAAACAGCATAACACAGAGAAATTGATATCTTGTATCCTCTGTTTCACTCCTCAAATGCCCAGAACAGATGTAGCTGGACCACACCAAAGAGCCAGGAGCTAAAAAATCCATCTAAATCTCTCCAAGGGATGGCAGAACACCAAGTCCTCAGAATAACATCTCCTCCCTTGCTGTCTTTAGTTTAAAGAACTTTCATCAAATTCAAAACATTCTGTTCTCATCTCCATACTTATTTTAAATATGATTATTTGACAATCTTATTTATTTATTCATTCACTTATTTACTTATTCGTTTATTGCTCTTCAGTTGCATATATATAAAGGAGAGACAGAGAGAAAAATCTACCCATTGATTCACTCCTCAAGCAGCTGCAATGGCCAAAGCTGCACTGATCTGAAGCCAGGAGCCTCTTTTGGGGCCCCACGTGGGTATAGGATCCCAAGACTTTGGACCAGCCGCGACTGCTTTCCGAGGCTACAAGCAGGGAGCTGGATGGGAAGCCAGGCCACCAGGATTAGAACCGGCATCCAAATGGGAGCCAAGTACGTACGAGACCACTACTTTAGCCACTAGGCTACCGGGTTGGGCCCTACACAAATATTTAATATTAGTATTGCAGTTCAAACTGCACAAGATTCCAATTTTTTTCACATCTTTCTTTTCCAAATTATCGTTGCCATCATCAACACAAAATATGTATTATTCAGCCACACAAATGTTAATGGACACGAAGGAAAGTTACACCGTTGTCTTTCCAATATGCATCCTCTGGCTAATGGTGCAGCGCATTCCTGCCATCCTGGCAGCAGTCAGGAAATGCTGTCTCAAGCTTAACAATGGCTACTTCAGCGAAGCCTTGTGTGTCTTGTTTCATAGGAATCACCACGGTGCTGACAATGACAACCATCAGCACTCACCTCAGGGAGACCCTGCCAAAGATCCCTTATGTCAAAGCAATTGACATCTATCTGATGGGCTGCTTTGTGTTTGTGTTCCTGGCTCTGCTGGAATACGCCTTTGTAAATTACATCTTCTTTGGAAAAGGTCCTCAGAAAAAGGGGGCTGGCAAACAAGACCAGAGCGCCAATGAGAAGAACAAACTGGAGATGAATAAAGTCCAGGTAAGGAGCTAAGCGTCCCAAATATTATTTTCCCTAAGTGTATCAGCAGCATGCTGTCACGGGCACTCATAAAAGGAAGAATAGTTACAAATATCAGTTTTTCTTGCTCAGATTTAAGCAACCCTTCATTTGACAGTTATGGATGCTGAGCATTGAAGAAGTTAGACTGCAGGTTATAAGCACATGGCTAGATAAGCCTGAAGCTCAACTCCAAGTCCATTGCTACTTATTTGGAACAAATAAGTAAAATCAAATGCAAGAGAATAATTCCAGATTGGCTTGGTAAGTAAATGAGAGAGGACCAAGTTGGATTTTAAGGTGAGAGGAGAACTTGCAGTCCGGTGATGACACCACTGCTGACTGGAATCAAAGGACCCGAATCCAACCTGCACTCCTACCACTTGATGACTTGATGACTTGGGAAAAGTCAACTCATGCTCCTGTGGCTTTTGCTTCCAGAGTCCCCAACCATAAAATAGACTCGACCATTGTATACTTATCACACAAAGTCACTGTAAGGAATAATATTTTAATGTCTAACATTTAATACAATACCTGGAACTCAAGTAGTATTAACCCACTAATATGAGATATTGTTATTATTTTTATGTTGCTTTTCAATGGTACATCTTGTGATCTTTAGCCAAAGCATAGAATAAACCAAATAATTCATAGTCTGTTTATCATGTTAAAATATTTCTGTAGCATGCACCTCTGTGCCATTTTCTCCCAAAATCCATTTATTATTACATATATTGAGATGCTGTGTATAACACAGGTTGTTTTGACAATAGCAGCTGAGGTGACAGTTCATATATTTGTTCATTTAGGCACTGTTCTGGGCGTTATGGACATTATTCTGCCTGAGACAAGGTTTCTTTAAGTAAATTCTAAGCAGAAAGATAAGCAATAAACACACAAACCTGTATTAGGAGGATAATTTCAGGAACTAGTAGGTACTGAGAGAAAAACACAATAGAGAACTGGTAAAGAGAATAATTTGGGTTGGATTCAAAAGGAAGCTTCAGTAAGGTGACAGGAATGGCCTGACACCTACATGATGAGAAGCGGGTAAATACACCAAACCCATTTTAAGCCAAAAGAGCAAGTTATAAGGCTCTGAGGCAGCATTTGCTCTGCGTGCTATAGTACTGAGAAAAGATCGCAGCAGCATAACCACGGAGAGGAAGCAGTATTAATATGAGATGTGGTTGGATGGTTAAGTGGAAACCAAACTATGAATTCTCATGATTTGGTCAGTATGATATCAAGATGGGACCAAATACTGTGAGGTGATTAGAAAGTCACAGGCAGAGAACACAGAAAGTCAACCACATGGTAAAATTCAAAGCAATGTATCTAAGTAGGTCTTGTATTTATTTATGTATTTTGTTAGTTTGGGAGGCACTGTGTTTGACTCTATGGGAGAAGCAGTAGACATGATGCTTGTGCTCCAGGATGCTGGGATTGTGTTTGAGCGAGGTGGATGCCCTGAGGTTTGATTACTTACCTAACCTTTGTCTAAACTCTGGAGGAATAGTAGGCTGGTGGTTATGGGTGTTTTGTTTTGTTTGTTTCCTGCTTGCTATGTGTTGACAACGTTAGCTAGTGGAGAGTGAAGTCTATGATTGCAAAGGGGAATGAAAACATGTCCCTGTAAAAATCAGGGGAAAAAAATAACTAAAAAAGAGAATGGGTAGGGAATTCAGGCATGGAGGCATAGGGTAGAAAATATTGCTATACTTCAAAATCTCTATGATGAAATACATAAAGTTGGTTCACTTTCTTTACAATTTTTTTAAAATTAGGATTGTACTCAAATAAGGCAATCAAAATGAACAAATGCATGAGACAATTAGCTTTAAAGAAAAGTGTTTCTCATTGCCTGACTATAACCCTACCCAAAGCCACCACTTTCTTTCTCTGGCTCTCCATTTCCCCTGTCTGCTAAACTTGGTGTTGTTATGAGAAATAACTGAGAGAAATCACACAGTTTGAATCAGCAAACAGTGTTATCCACAAAAACAAAAATAGCAATAACTTCCTAAACAAAAAAGTAAAAAAAAAAAAAAAATGTGGAAGGTCTGTGGATAATGGGGAATCTAGATAGCATGGAGAAAAATTGCCTCACTGAGGAATGTGATGATACCAGGCAGGGAACAGATGAGTAGGGGTCAGGTTCAGTCATCTTTCTCTCCTCAACCAACTCAAGGCTTAACACTGCTAACTGCATCACTAAATGCCTTACAGGGAGTGCTGAAGGCCAAGGACTGTGAGGGTCCTCTTTCAGCAGAAAGTACATGGGCTTTAATTTAGACAGATGTGGGTCCTAATGGCAGGTCTAGCATCTATTCACTAACTGAGTAAATTGGAACCAGTTTACTACCTAGGTTAAGCTTCATCTATATGAGGCTAGAATGAAGATTGTTTGCAAGTATTTAGCAAGTAATAAATATGAAACATTTATTGTTATGATACACTTGGGGCAAATGCTATAGAAGTCTCAATTCTCTAGTCTGGATATAAGTACCTCCTGTCATCTCTGCTGTCATCTCTCTTTCCCTGCCTTTCTTTTCTGTTTTTCTTTCTTTCTCTGTTGTTTTCTTTGCCTCCCTCTATAGGTTCCTTTATCTCTCCTTCCATCACACTCATGCATTGCCCTATCATGTGCTTTCAACAGCATGTTCTGAGATTAATCCCATTTGGAATCCTTTCTGGACCGTTACTGTGAGGGACCAGGCAAATCACAAAAGCCTTGAGCACAGCTGCCCTTAAACTACCTCATCCTTATTCGCTATGTTCCTTCTGCAATATATAATCAGCTTAAAGCCAAAAATGGCTTCATTGTGGGCTCTTATTTCAGGTAGTTCCAATAGTATATGTGGACACCGCGTAAGAAGAGCAGGTGTCACTAGAATTGCAGGAACAACAGTGGGGAATCCAGTCAAAGTGGAACCAGACCTATCTTTTGACTCTTTAATCCCACTTTCTGCCATTTTACCTGGGGAAATCATGCACCAAGATTGAACAAAGTGTTATGCCTTCCAGACTTGATTATAAGAGTAAAGCAAGTGTTAACATTTACCAATTATAATTTTTATATGTTATTAGTAAGCGACATTACAAATGAGTATCTACCAACATTGAAAATATGCCAAGCTTTTAACTGACAAGTGCAAATGACAAAGGAAAATGTACAGATATATGAGTATTTCTAAGACTACATGAACAGGGGGCAAAATGGAAGATGAGATCACAAAGTTTCTTGCTTTAACTGTTCCTTTTATAGTGAAAAGAAGTGTATACAAACATGAATATCACACACACACACTGCATCACTGCTTTGTGAGTGGAATCAGATGGAAGAGTGATAGGTGGATGCGTGGCTGGAGTGATGGAGTGATGGATGGATGGATGAATGGATGAATGGATGGATGGATGGGATGGATGAACAGCCCCAGACAGGAGAGAGTTCCTCCAAAAAACACATAGAGCCAGTTGTCCAGCAAGGCAGTAGCTTGGCAGACCGTACAAGATGTCTCAGTAAAAAGTTAATGATGGCATTTGGCGTCCCAGCAGCTGTGTCTGACCATCTGACCATGTCCTTTCTCCGTCAGGTCGATGCCCATGGCAACATTCTCCTCAGCACCCTGGAAATCAGGAATGAAACGGGTGGCTCAGAAGTGCTCACCAGCGTGAGCGATCCCAAAGCCACCATGTATTCCTATGACAGTGCCAGCATCCAGTACCGCAAGCCCCTGAGCAGCAGAGAGGGCTATGGGCGTGCCCTGGACCGGCATGGGGTGCCCAGCAAGGGGCGCATCCGCAGGCGAGCCTCTCAGCTCAAAGTCAAAATCCCGGACTTGACTGATGTGAATTCCATAGACAAGTGGTCCAGAATGTTTTTCCCCATCACCTTCTCTCTTTTTAACGTCGTTTATTGGCTTTACTATGTACACTAAGGTCTGTCTTAAGGGTTCGATTTAGACTTTCCTTTTCTCTTGTTTTTTTAACCCCACACAGGTTCCCAGCAGACATACTGCTGTACTTTTTGAGGTAAGCATTTCAGCCATCCAGTTGGTTTTAGGTCTTGCGTATCAATTTTATTACTGCATCATGTTTACTTCAGACAAAAAGAAAAAAAAATATTTTTTCAGCCTACCTTGGTCCAGGTTATCAGCTCTTTGAAGAGCTCTGTCAATTGCCATGTTTACAAATACAAAGAGAGATGTTAGGTAGATCATTAGCAGTTTTTCCTAGCCACCCTGGATTTTATTGATTTCTTTTTTAGATGAAAATAAAAAGAGGACCCCATCCACTTGCACTCCTTCCTGGTAAACTGTAACAATATCATGCTGCCAAAAATTATTTTAAAAAATCCACAATTTCCAGGATCTCAGAAGAAAAAACAAAGCCATTGACAAGTTGCAGATTTCCAGGAAGAAAAACAAAAGAAAAGGAGTCTAGACAAAGTATGAAGATTCCCCACCACCCTCCTGAAACCCCCAAGTCCCTAACTCCTCCACTCCATGAAAAAGGGACAGATCAGCAAGTGCAGGTTAAGGTGATGCAAACCCAACCTGCCATCTATGCCTCACCATTAGGCTAGTTGTTTGGGAAAATATTTGTTTCTCAGATTTCCTAGCAAATATTCAATTAACATTAGAATCCAACTTGGTAAATCTAGTAGTCATTGAGAACATTTTTCTTTTCCTCTTGAGAATCAGGAGTTTGGGGCAATGACCGTTTTTCCAATGGACCTGTTTAACTAAACAGTTCTGGATTCATTTCATCAGCCTGGAATTCCTTGATGCTGTGCTATGACACCTCACCATCCTGTTTCCATACCTCCTATCCCAGACAGTGATACTCCCAGAAGGGAGTGGAGAGAATGCTAAAGAAGAGTGAGGTGTGCAATTTTTGCTTGAAAAAATATATATACATTGCTCTTTCCACAGGGAAGGCAAGATTTATGTGCTGTGCAAAGGGTGCCTGGGCAGTGATGAGCACTGCCAAATCTTAAATCAAATAGTATATATTTCTTAGCCTTCCGGAGAACAGTTTCTAAGCCTCAGCCGGTACTTTGTGACTCAGAGTTCTGTATTCCAAACTATGGAAGTAACGCTTCAGCACAAACACACACATACCTGCATTGGTGTAGGTCTCATGGAGGTCACAGATCAAACAACAGTGACCAAGGCACAGGGCTTCCAGACTTGCACACCAGCCCTTTGAAGTATAGACCCCGTCTACACTTAGGAATCACTGTCATTACTGCTCTGCCTTATCTCTGCTCATGGATTACTTTTGGTGATGATTTGCTTGATCTTCAGTAGCAAGACATACAGTTCTAGACATGTTCAACCAGCCAGTTGGGATTCTTTTCATTCTGTGTACTTAAAAACCTCATGGGTTTTTTTTTTTTATTTATTTATTTTCAGACTTAGTATCCAACAATACTGTATGTTCATTTGTAAGACTGAGTTAATCCCTAAATTGTCCAACCAAAGATTGAGGTGACTGGGCACCTGATCCATGGGTGTGAAATCAGGATTAAGTTACTGGGCTGATTACATCACTGAGGCTTTCTGCCTAAAGCTGTTAGAAGGTCCCAAGCCTATAACAGCGTCAGCTGTTAGAACATGCAGATGTACGTGGAAAGATCAAGCTGAGTTCCTACTGATGAGCTCAAGGAGAGAAAGTTATGAGATATCTGTTTGGTAAGCAACAGGAAAAGTGAATCCCAAAACAAACAGTTACGGCTGAAGACAAAATATATTCTTAAGAACATAAAAACTGTGCTTTCACTAGAACAATGATATCAATGGTTTCAAGAGAAACTAGTAAAGATGTGGGGACTAAATTTCCATTTAGGATTTTAGTGTTCTACCATACTTCCTGGGTCAGAAAACGCCCATTCTCCAGACAGGTACTCATCTGTTTTGAAATGGTTCAGCCCCTTGACACAGTGACATGTTTTCCCATCACAAAATGCCCCAAGTTTAGTGCAAGATGGTCATCTTGGTGATTGCAAGGTTAGTATTATTAGTGACCACCCAGGAACCACCATGCCATTGTATATTATAAATGAGGAAGGAAATGTTTTGGCTGATGTTGAACAGAAATGCATCATTCTGGTGTCCAAGCTCTTTTTAAAAGATTTCACTTTAGAAAGAAGTGTTTTTGATCTAGGTTCCTTAACAAAACAATTTCTCATTATCTGTTCAGATCATTCTTTCAAGGAAAAAAAAAAGGTCATTTGTATTTTTTTAACCTTGCCTTTGAAAATTTAAATATTTTTGGCTGTGAAGCATCTTCTGAGAGAAAAAGTGTATTTTAACTTCTAGTACCTAAACCTGTACAAAAATCTGAAGTTTTTAAATTCAGCAGACCAAAACGGAATCCCCACATGCCCTTCTGGGCAGTGCAGAGGTCACAGCCATAACTGTGCAAACCCTGTCAATTAGCTGTGATTTGTAGACACAATGGCAGCCAGAAAAATGAAACTGTTTCCACATTCCACTTGATAAATTTTTCACACTTCTTTCTTCTGAATATCGCCCAGCCAAATTTCTTCTACTTTGTGCCTCCTTCTGGCCTACTTCTCCCTTTCTAGCCTCAACAATCAGGGGGAAAAAAATCTTTCCTTCTCTGGCTGTCTCCCCTGTCTTGCCCCAAACGATTTACATATGACATAAAAATTGTTAAACGTTCTTAAGTGCCCTCAAACTGGCCTTTCTTCTTGAAAGATTCAACGTGTTACATTGTAAATGGATTGTTATTGAACTGTTATTGGGGTTCCTTTCTTTTTGCCATGAAAATAGCCATAATTCTTGCATTCCTCCAATGGTAGCAGAGGCTGAAAACCGCACAGACTCACTCTGTTATGCCACAGTCATGTTCAAAGAACCCTATTTTCCTACACTGTGACATAAACTGTGCTAAAACATAACCTGTACACACCCAGTAGAACTCTTCCCACTTGATCTTAGCCAAAAGGCCAAGAAACAATCCAGTGGAATTCTCATCTTTCACTCGACTATGATGACTGCACAGTTATTCCTTCCATTCATGTTCTTTGGCTTAAAAATACAGGGGGTAGCTTGTACGCTGTACTTACTAGCAAAGACCTGGGTAAAGGATGTTTTTGGCATGAATTACCCAGGTTCATTGCTTCCATCCTCGATGTTGCCAAATAGAAAGACTGGTTTGTCATGTTGGTAATCTGCTGATTGGCGGCTGTGTGTTTCCATTCATGCTTTTGTGACTGGGCATCACAATCAATGAAAGAGCTCCAAAACACAAGGAGAAAAATGCAGCACAGAGAATAAACTTTAGTTTAAGGGTCCAGCTATAGATTGCTTTAAAAAAATAAAACATTATGTGCAATAGTAGAAACATTGACTAAATTTCATATTTCTAAAATAGACAACTCTTTTCTAAATATTCATTTAATAATAAAGAGCTCAATTATAATTTTCCAACTTAAAAACAAAGATATATGTAAAGTGCTTCTAGAAAGAAATTATCTCCAAGATTTCTTATTTGGACAATTACGAGCTTACCAAATTTGGTACAGCTTTCCGAAGGGTGGTGTGCCACCATGCTTCACTCCCCACCCCCCTAATCACCCCAAGTAAAGTAAACTCGTACATCCCTGGCGGGAAGGAAAAGAAACATGCAAACATTTGCTCACACTGGTTCAATCAGCAGTTACTGGGATGTGAAGGACAGAAAAACAAACAAAAAATGTCTGTTTCCTGAAAGCAAGCAGCACATTTTGTTAACAGAATGTAGAATATCGTGTAAACTTCCTTGTAAATTCTGTACATAGTTCACCAAGTTGTTCTCTGTTGTGTGGTGGTCCTCAGCTTTGGGTGGACGTTCAAAAACTCTGAGCATTGTAAATAATGTAAGCTTTTTTTTTTTTTTGTAAGCACTGGCTTTAATTAATGAAGTGAAGTGACTAGTGATTTGGACCCAAACCAGAATCTTTTTAGCTCTTGCTTTTTCTGCTATCTTGTGTGTGCAGTTGTGTAATTCTGCTACCAGCCTTAGTCTGGTACCTGTAATCACTGCCTCATGCTCCTACCCCACAGAAGAGACAGCAGCTGCTGCTGCAAAGGCTGGACGTCTAAGGGGTTCAGGAACAGCACACCAGCAGAAACAAGAACTGTAGCAAGCTGCTTCTTGAGCTGTGTTAGGAAAAGTGGATGTGCTTTTTATCACTCATTGTGATTTTTCATGTAATTGATATAATTCTATTCAGAGGGTCAGGAATGAAAGAGACACTCAAAATCCACAAGTAATCCAAAGTTCATTTGCACCAGGAACTTTAGCTTCTATCTTCTTCCCTTCCACATTGCTTCCCAGAACTGCTAATGAGAATAGAGGTGAATAGGAGGTTTAGGGTTAGTCAGGGTAAATAGTCAGATGCCCAAATAATAGGAAGGAGTGAAGGAAGATGCAGCAAGCACTCCACATCACCAGCTGACTGATTTATTCCCAAAGAGAAATAGAAATAGATTCATTGGAAATTAGATATTTTTCAACTAGACATGGAGGTATGTGTTATACTTGCTAGTTAGAGAGCTTAGCAATTATGTTTTCGTATACATTTCTCCAAAATGTTGGTATCCTTGAAAAAGTATTCAGAATGGTGGAATATGATGCCTCAAGTAGTGTTTCTATGCTGTCCATGGAAATTCCATGTGTGTCTTTTCTGTCCCAGAGAGAGGGAGGGTGTCCATGGAAATGCAGAATATCCAAGCAATGAAAAATATAGATTGGCCACTTGGTGATGCTTGGGAGGGAACAATGTCTTTCTTGGAGCAAGAATTTTACAAAATAGGACTCTTATTACCAATGTCTTAAGTGCCATGAGAGTATAATGTAGGAAAGCATCAATGTGAGATGTCTTGTTCCCAAAGCATAACAACAAAGTTCACCATCACTTGAATGAGAAAAATACCTTTCTGAACTAATCAATACAGTCCACTGCTTGGTCTAGAATGTATTGTGCTTTTCCTAAAGTTCCTTTTTTTTAAGGTAATCAAATCAATTAAGCTGATAGAAAACATAATTGATGGAGGCTGCAGTTTCACAGACAAGAGTTTGAAATGAAATCCTCTTTAGTAACAGCATTCCGGATTAGAACATAGTATGTCCATAGAAGGCCAGGGTTCAAGAACTTATTTACTTTGTTGAGAACAATAATTTCCTGTTCAACTGGAAGAGGCCTAAAAGTTGTTTTGGGTTTGATTTTGGGGTTTGACTAAAAAGTCCTTGATATGTCAAGGTTTGTAGAACCACTGGTGATTGATGCTGCATGCCTGGTGTATCCTGGAGCAAGCAGCAC